CCCCCGGGGATTTTCCCGGGGGGCCCCCCCCCCCCCCCCCCCCCCCGACCAAAGGTCCGCCGCACCCGGTGCGGGGGCCCCTTAGTCTGCATTATGTGGTGGAGGCCCCTTTGTCAACAGTTTCCCGGGCGTCCTCTAGGTTGGCAGTCCGACCCTGTCCCCACCCCTTTAAGCACATGCTCATAATTTGGGGAGTAATATTATTTTAAACCCTTGACACTTGCAGGTCACTCCAGTAGTGTGACCCAAGTGGATGCCATGGAATGGGATGATGGGAGGAAGACCGTGGTCTCCGCTTCTGTTGATTCCACCGTCTGCATTTGGGAAGCTCCTAAAAGTGGTGCATAGATTTACTTGTCACATTGACTTCACATTGGCTTGCATCTTGAAAACTGCACAATAAATAGAGAAGAGAATAGGTAATGTAATGGTTGCAGTATTGTACAATAAACACTCATGCCAGTTATTTGACCTCACTTACTGCCAACCTCTTCCTTTGAAAAAATGTATCCATTAGCTTGTAATCAGGAATATGGTTTATTTTTATATAGCACCACCCTTGTTATAACATCAAAATCAGCATTGACCAAGAGTGACTTGTTATCAAGCATCGTGTAAAGTATGAATATTGATATTTGGGCACAGGGAGTGAAATGGAGTTGGAATGCAAGGGGAAGTTGAGTTTAGGCTTGTCCATGGGCATTCACCTTGCATCTCTTCCCAATCCTTTGAAGTCTCAACCAGTTCTCTTCTTTGCTACTGATGACTCTCGTGTTCATCTGTATTCCCCATCTCAGAATGACTTTCCCAGGCTCCACTCTCTCATTGGTCACCAGGACTGGGTTCGTGCACTGGATTCTGTCATCATCACAGGTGAGTTGCATCCTGCTCTGATTACTGACTGAAAAGATTCCTTAAGTAATGCCATTCAGTAATTACATGAGGGAAAGTCGGAAAATAAGGCCAATACAAATATTTCGCAGATACTGCATTTCACACAAACATTTTTTAAAATATGAAAATGAAAATACAGGGTGGGCCAAAAAAAAAAAATCCGTCGTTTTTGGTGAATCGTCAATCTCATTGTAGGCTGCTGATTCTGGTTGCATTTGGTGGGCTTATAGGGTTACACAATTGGAGTTTTTATGCCGGATTTCAGCCTTTTGGCTCTAAAATATAGGAGCTGTAATTATTTTCTGATAACCCACGACAAAATGTGCTTTCGAAAATATTGGTATGAACTTGAGGCCGGGATGAAAGGGAGGACCGAATTCATGACCTTCCATCCCTCCATTATGCTATAGAGGAAGAATGGGAGGCACTGCCTCAAAGACTTATTGACCAAGCCATTGTTCTGTGTCAATGGCATTTAATTTACTTTGCATCACCAAAAAGTAAGTGTTCATTTTTTATTTAAATTTAAAATTGCTTGTTTGTTTTTATCAGTTTTGAGAAAAGAAGTATCGTCGAGGCAGTGCTTTCCAATCTTCCTCTTTAGCATCATGTAGAGATGGAAGGTCATGAATTCGGTCCTTCCATCCATCCCGACCTCAAGTTCACATCAATGTTTTCGACAACATATTTTGTCGTGAGTCATCAGAAAATAATTACAGCTTCTCTGATTTTAGAGCCAAACGGCCGAAATTTGGTATAACAACTCCAATTATGTCACCCTATAAGCCTACCTAATGGAACCAGAACCAACAGCCTATAATGAGATTGACAACTCACCAAAAATGACAGCTTTTGTTTGTTTTTTTTTTACCCACCCTGAACATGTCCTCACACAGAAAATTCAGTGCCTCAGTTCGATGCATTTTTCTCGC